TTTGAAAAGGCTATTAATAATTCCTCCTTACACTCTCCCACTGGCTCTAATGGTTTAAGTCAAACAACATATTTGGTGAGGTCGTAGTTTTCACATTTTCTTGTGTGTAAATTTGTGCTCAGGATGCATTTCAAGCTGGAATATTCCTCTTCTGTAGACTGGGTTCCATCTTGTTGGATAGTGTTTTGTTATTCTCACAGGTGTTTGTGGTGCCATCTATATGTATCATCTCCCCAACACTTTTTGCACCCATACAGTCTGGTATGTCACACTCCCACCTTTGTTCTTCACAGTCAGAACTATGCATTCACTGTGGTTGTCCTGGCCAGATTCACAACAAACCTGCTGGATCCCAGCTGAACTGAAAAAATGTATCCTGATGTCACCTGACCATAGAGTCTTCTCTCTATATTCATCATCCTTCTTTGATTACCAAAGTTTAACCTTCCAGTTTGGTACCAACAGTTTTTGTTTCTCGGACGCTCCAATAGATGTTGCACTATGTCGCGTCCTTATTGGTGTCTGGGCAGTCACCAAAACTCTGACGTCCACTGATAACCCCTTGGCCAAGTCTGGAATAGTTGCTGATCTGTTTTTCTGAGCTACATTTGGCAAGTAGCACACTGTCTGTGGTGTCATTTAGGAGGTCGACCACTGCAGCTGTGATCAGTGGTACTGTGACTCCTTCTATCCCTCCTGATTACTGCTGCAGCTGTGTTTCAACTGATTTTTAGGTGGTCAATGAGCTTCCTGTATCTTTGTGAAGTCTCACATTCAGATTTTTCAAATCCTCTGGCAACTACTTTCAGTGTGGAGCCAGGATGTAGACATGTGAAGACAGAAAGCGCAAAGGTCCAGAACAGAGAGCGTTTGCTAGTCACTATGAAACCATGTCAATGCAATAAGACTGACTGGGAATATCAGATGCACTCAGTGATAACGGGTGTGGTCACTTTTATCAGGTTAAGTTTCTACTTCAGGGCCTGTATTTTCAATATATTCCTTCCACAGTATTTATTTGTTAATGTTCATAAGAGGAAATGCTCTATGATATGATTTTGAATCACTTGACTGTTAGCTGATACTGCATAAGGTTGTACTCAATTCTTTTGTGTACTGTGAACTCTGTGCAACTAGTGACAACCAAACATTTTGAGTCTTGCGCTTAAATCTTTTGACGTAACTTTGAGGGCTGAAGACATAACCTGAGATCAGCATAATTTTTTAAATATAGAAATATATGAACAGTTCAAATCCAGTCATGGAAGATTACATTTTCCAGAAGTTACTGTCTAATAGAGCCTGTTTTCCAAGTCTGATTGAAGACTTTCAAATGCATTCAATTTTGTGATCACTTCTTACTTCAATCCCACTGACTGTATGTATAATGAGGCTTTGCTTTTAATATGAGTTGCATGAAAAGGACGGATGCTGCTTTGAGTCCCACCTCATCTGGAACATCTACAGTTTTTTATAGCTCTCTATAAATGGTCTAAACTAAAAATCTAAAATGTTCTGTCATGTACTCTCACACTTCGTTTACAACTTTAATGAGGTATGAGTTTGTCTAACAATTTACAACTGTGATAATGGTATACTGTCACTGCAATGCATAAATCAGAACCCATAAATATTATTGATGAATAGTGAATTGAGCATCTGCTTCTTGAGAAAAGTCCTGTTTTTACAGGAAAAGGGGCAGACCGCTTTCACTCCACCCCCAGTGCAGATGATATAAAGATGCAGTGATCAGCCATGAACTGCATCACATCATTCACTTCTGACTGCTGTGGATCATTCAAAGCTGTAAGTACTCTATACTTCTGTACTGACTGGTGGATTCAGACATTACTGTGCAAGAGTAGCCAAATGCAGAGCCATTGTAGGATGCTGTTATAGGGACATTCTCTGTTTTAATTAGAGATAACCAGATGCATTTCTTCTGTTTCAGAATAATGAGCAGGAACTACTTGTCCAGAAATGACGAGCTCCGCAAGGGAGACTTCCTTATTTCCAACAACAGGGAGTGGAAGGCAGTTTTCCAGGTGAGTAACTCAGATTTTGTCAATCCAAAAGTATCATTTACTGATCATGTGTAAGTTGAAATAACTGATCTTACTGCTTTTTCTCTGTAGACTTGTCAGAGAGGCGAGTTCTAATAAAAGTCAAATGTGTCTCTTTTCCTGCAGGATGATGGCAACTTTGTCATCTACGGCTGGAAGCCTGTGTGGACTTCAGATAGTAATGGATCAGATGCTGTTCGCCTGTGCATGCAGGAGGACTGCAACCTGGTCATGTACAGTAAGTGCGACCAGCCGAGGTGGCACACTAACTCCTCCAAACCTTCCTGCAACATGTGTCGCCTTCAGCTGACTGATGACGGCAAGCTGGTGGTGTACAGAGAATGTGAAGAAATCTGGAGCTCTGAGAAGTCCAGAGGCATGAAGTGATGGCTGAACATGACTTATGAGCTTCTGAGTGCTTTGCAATTTAAAGTCGNAAAATTTTAGCTAATATCAAAATATTCTTGAACTAAGTTCCGAAAAAAACAGTACTCATTTTTATAATTAGAGTAATTAGATTACATCTACTTAATTTTATTGTCACAGCTGAAGAAGGTTAGGTTAGGTTATTTTATTTACAGGACAGGTTTTATCCTCTATAAACTTGACCTATAGTGATACATGTTGTTATAGTAGCTGATTATAGGTACAAATAGTAAAAGCGCTGACAGGTGAAGCGAATAATGTTGATTATCTCGTTACAATGGCACCTGTCAGTAGGTGGGATGGACCAGGGAGGAAGTGAGCAGCCAGTTCTTGAAGCTCATGTACTAGAAGCAGGAAAAATGAGCAACTTTCTTTGAAAAGGACCAAACTGTGATGGAAAGATTTCTGGGTCCGAGCATCTCCACAACGGTAGGTCTTGTGTTCCCAGCATGCAGTGGGTTGTATAATAGATGCAAAGGTACTTCAAAAAGTCTCTGCCTCACCTGGAAACAAGTGCTGTAACTCCCATTATGGGGCATAGCTGTGTACTATGAAGCCTTATATCACTGTGGCAATCAAATAAAAAGGAGAAGAACGCTTTGAGCTGGCGTTCTGTTCGTCCACACAGCAGCAGAAGCAGCCAAATGTGTCTCTGAACTGTTGCTTCATGCACCTTCCTTGCTGGACCTGCACCGTCTGACTTCTGTTTCTGACGCTGAAATCCCGCTTGTGTTGTGACAGTTTTCAGAGCGATGATGAAGTCACCTGTGGTGTTAAGAAGTTTCTGCAGGCTCTAGATGTGATTTTCTTTGAGCAAAGCATGAACATCAGTGGATCAAGTGCGTTGAATTTAAAGGAAAAATATTCTACTACAGTCTGTCTCATGTGAAGTTTTCCAGTGAGGTTGAGAACTTTCTGAAGCACCCTCAGATATGTAGGTATAAAAAGGTGGAGGCAGCCTTCAAGTGTGAGAAGTCAACGTGCTTTAAGTTTTGACTCGCAGAATCTTTGCTTTAGAGTTGTGCATTCATTCTATTTTTTACATGCAAAGTATTAATATGGTTCATATGATGCAAACTATATCCTCATCTGTCTTCACTTTATTTATGCAATATGAAAAAAAACATAATGACATTTGCTGTCCATGAAACCACTGCATGAACCAAACTCTTCACCGAAAAGATTAGTTTTAAATGAACCAGTTTTCCTTTAAAGCATGTGATTAGTTTAGTGATGTGTAATTTACTGCTGCGTCTGCAGCTCATGCATGTGGCAGCAAACAGCAGTAATGTTTTAAAATGCTTTGCACACGTTTCGCTTTCCTTCCATCTGGTGGATAAATCAGAACTCATGCCAACCAAAGTTAGAGAAAGTGGTTGTTGTTATGTACACGCTTCTGCAAACTTTAGAAATGCTTTAATGTGTATATATAATCATGCTGGTTTGATGGAAGCGCGGTTTCAGCAGAAAAGACTTCGGGTCAGACGGAGGTGAGATTTCACTTCTTCTACTTACATAATGGGTGAATTGCATAATGTTGACATTTTTCGCCTGGATGCCAGCAAATGATGCACATGAAAAGGCAACGTGCATTTTTGTTTGATGTTTCAGACATTAAAACATTTTATTTCTTACATAACTTGCACTCCTAGTGGCTCCAAATGATCGTGAGAGGAAACTGCATGACTTTAAAACCAAGAAAACCTGTGACAAGAGCACACATGATACACACTACACTTATTTTTAGTGCCTTTACACGTCTGAGATCATTTTACATTAAGAGGTAGATATTTACCTTGATTTTTGTGTATAAAAATAACTGAATATTAATTTTCCTGAGGAGCATTGAGGTTATTTTCCTCACTTGGGTTCATTTGGCTATAAGCAGTTTGCATGTTAAGACTGACTGTGTTGTAGCTGTCAGTCTGCAATGACCAACTCCACAGTGCAAAGTAGTGTTAAAAAAATCAAGCCACAAAAGGCTCCAGATCAAAGGTGCAGCATCCATAAAAGCTCTTTCATCTCATAGTTGTAAACCAATAAGGACATATAGCAAATAAATTCAGTTTGCATTCACCTTGATAAAAACACATGTCATGGAAATTGGCTCCTGTAAGAAATGAGCATTACTAAGAGTTGTGCATACATCCGGTAATGTTCATATTCAAATCATAGATATTGCTCTTGCAGCTCTGTGTCCAGCTCTGGAGGAGGAAGAGCTGTTCACTATCGATGGTACGATGAGGTCACAGGGATGTGAAAGTTGACTTTATCTTGTTTCAGCAGAAACGCCTTGGCATTTACAGTTTGTTTGTTTTTTAAAGCCCTACATCTGTCATATGCATCAGTCTATTTCCCAAGAAATCCCATTCACCCCACAGCAATAAGAGAAGTGAAACAAAGCAAAACTCAAGATGCTGTTACATATTATAATATATACTGTAAATAAAGCAAAGAAGATAACAAGAATCAGTACAATCTTTTACACAAGAAATCCTAAAACACAGCTGGAACTCAATGCAACAAAAGTCAGTGCTGATTATTGGGATCCAAAGATTTATTTAAAAAAAAATATTACAGGTCTTCTGGAAATATGACCAAACCTGCTGGGTCAAAAATATACATACAGCACTTGAAATACCAGTTTCGATGATATAGAGAGTTGTAAATCTTATTTTCTTAGTAGCATGGCCTCTCAACTTCTCGTGAATGATTATGATTGGCTACAGCTGCTGACTCCACTGAGCCAATTCAAATAGGGCCCATCTGATACAGTCATCAGACTCTGCCACAACCATTACAGTGGGACAGTCTGAGGAGCTCAGCACAGAGCTGATAAAGCAAATTATTGACTTGAACAAGTCAAAGCAGCTACAGATCCCCAAATCCTCTGTACAAACAGTTGTTTGTACGTCCAAAGTGCATGGCTCAGTTATGCCACTGATCGGGGCGATCAGGAGAAAACCTCTATCACCTGCTGCTGAGAGACAGTTGGTCAGGATGGTCAAGAGTCAACACAGAATCACTAAATGAATGAGAAGCTACAAGGAAAAACATGTGTCAGTGTCCACAGTCAAGCATCACTGCAGGCTTAGAGGCTGCCAAGGGCTCGAGACTGAAGTGCTACTGATCACATGGAAAAAGGAAAGGCCTTCTGGAGCAAAGTTCTGTGGTCAGATGAAACAAAAATTTGACTGTTTGGACACAATGAGCAGAAATATTTGGAGGAGAGAAGCTGAGGCCTTTAACCCCAAGAACACCAAACCTACCATCAAGCATGGTGGTGGCAGTATTATGCTCTGGGGCTGTTTTGCTGCCAGTGGAACTGGTGCTTTACACAAAGTAAATGGAATAATGGTAAATAATGTGAGAATTACTCTCACATTCTTCAGGAAAACCAAAAATCATCAGCCAGAAGATCAGATGCAGTTGGATGTTCCAACAAGACAGTAACCCAAAACAGACTTTAAAAGTGGTAAAGAAATGGCTAAGACAGGCGAGAATGAAGGTTTTAGGCTGGCCTTCCCAAAATCCTGACTTTGACCTGACCCCATCCAAAACAGGAGGGCCACTGCAACTCCGATTAGTGGTGCCATGTGGCAATTTTGTTCCAACATATTTTTAGTTGGTCATCTGTCTTCCTTTAAGGGGCACGCCACTTTCACTTCACCCTCAGTGCAGATGATATAAAGATGCAGTGACCAGCCGTCAACAGTATCACATCCTTCACTTCTGACTGCTGGGGAACAATCCAGGCTGTAAGTACTCTATACCTTTATACTGACTGATGGATTGAGACATTGCTGTGTGAGAGTAGCCAAACAAAGAGTCATTGCAGGATGCTATTGATGCTATATTCTGTGTTTTTAAATGGACACAACCTGATATATTTCTTCATTTTCAGGATAATGAGCAGGAACTACTTGTCCAAAAATAACGAGCTCCGCAAGGGAGACTCCCTCTTTTCCAACAACGGGGAATGGAAGGCAGTTTTCCAGGTGAGTAACTCAGATTTTCTAAATCCAGAAATTTGCCAAATGTTCTGTTACCAATCCTGTGTAAAGTAACTGATCTTTTAACTTTTTCTGGGAGATTTCTTGGAGATACATGTTCTAATAATAGTCAAATGTTTATTTCTGCCTGAAGCATGATGGTAACTTTGTCATCTACGGCTGGAAGTCTGCGTGGGCTTCAGATACTGATGGATCAGATGCCGCTCGCCTGTGCATGCAGGGTGACTGCAACCTGGTCATGTACAACACGTGCGACCAAGCGAGGTGGCACTCAAGCTCAGTCAGATCCAGTTGTACCATGTGTCGCCTTCAGCTGACCGATGACGGCAAGCTGGTGGTGTACAGGGAATGTGAAGAAATCTGGAGCTCCGCCAACTCCAAAGGCATCAAAGTGACAAATTAACTCAACTTTACGAAGTGTGAGTGCGTTGCAACTGAAGGCCTTTCTAAATGTT